TTCATGAGTAAGGTCTATCGTAGGCATTATATAGCTGCTCTCATCTATTTTTTTATCCTTCATATATCTGTGTGGGTTGAACTCAGAAAAGAATCAATTTTTGAGTTACTCAGGTGGACATGCTTTTGTTTTTTTTAAATCTTATTTTATTTTTTTGTATTAAATTGATTGGGGTGGAAAGGGTGAGCTAGATCTCCGGGGCCTTTTCTCTAAGGGCACTAATCCCATTCATGAGGGACCCATCCGCAGGAACTAATTACTCCAAAGACCTCATATCTTAATACCATCACCTTGGACAGTAGGTCACCATATGAGTTATGGGGGAGTGGGAGGTGCAGAGTCAGTCATTCTAAAGTTTCACAAAGACATTTTAAGAACAGGCAGACCTCTCATCTTATGGGCGAGGGCCTGAGATCACATCTTCCCCGGAGTCATTCATGAATGTATTGTCTCGGTGGCAAAAGAGGGATGAAACATGAAGGCCTGACTGCACCTGCTTTCCCTCTCAGCGGAGAATCAATAAATTGTCCCAATAACATTGTTTTAAAGAGAATAGTTGCAAAATACAGGAAACGGTAATTTTAAAAATAAAGGAAAGCAGTACAATTTTAACCTTTTCAAGTTGCCAAGAAAAAAGTGTGTGTGTGTGGGGGAAAGAATAATTACTTTCTGCAAAGTAAAAATGGAATAGGAGCCAGGAGGATGGGAGAAAATGAGAGTAAAAAGTCATTTGCTCTTTCAAAACATGGGTGGGTTTCCCTGAGCTCTCGCTCCCTGCCACATCAGGGCCGCTGGGGTGTGACCGTAGGCCTACCACGTGCCCTCGGTCCATACTTGCTGTTCTGATGTGAGTTGATCCTGCCGTAGAGAGGACCTCCCTGGCACACAGTGGGTTCAGGAGAAGAGAGACCACTTGAGGCGCATTTTAAAGGAGACTGGTACCCATCTCGGTTCACTGCTCTGGCTTCTCTTGCTTTTTATCCATTTCATTAAAAAAAAAAATGGTAGGGACTCTAACCAGGTTTGTGTACAAAGCCAGCTCTCACCACTGTAAGCCTGATGCTTCTCTTCTGCAATTCTATAAGACGAAGGCGCTTAGACACGGGGCATTACATTAAGAAGCCCTTGGCGGCGTAATTACTCCAGTGCTCTTAGTTCCCCTCGTGCTTCTATGGCTTCAAAGCAACCTTCTGGTGCAAGGCGAGTCCTGACTGGCTGGGTTCCTTGGCTCAGAAAGAGCCGTTTGTGCCTGAAGAGGCTTGCCGAGTCATGGTGACGGCCCAGGTCTGTAGTGGGAGCGAGGACTGTGGTGGGAATTTCTGTCATCTATTTCTAGGCAAGAAGAGAAGGAAGGCTTCCTCCATCTGAGCATGCTGGGGCATTCTGCAAGGTAGTTTTCACACAAGTATGACCGCCGGACGCTCACTGGCCCTGCCACCCAGGGTGGGCCTTGGGTGTAACTGTTCTCTTGGAAAACTGCATGGCCCCGCGTGTACCCTCCTTTCTCCTTCCTGCATTCAGCCGCGCAGAGCGGGGAAACGCATGGCTCTAATGAACGGCAGCTACTGTTTTATTATCACATTCAAATAACTATCTGCCAAAACTTCTATAAGAGAGGAAGGCTCATTCTCTTACTCTCAAGGTCATTACTGGACTCATTTCCTTCCCTGGAAAAGCACAGAGATGCCATCTAGCAGCCGCCCTCAGCAATTTCCTGCCCAGAAATGGTCCTTTCTCTCTAAAAGCAGCAGCCGAGTTCTGACAAGCTTTCACTGTCTAGGAGAACTTGCTGGGAGAAGGATGGTCTGGCACACGACCTGTACTTCAGACGCGCCATCACAAATGAAATTAATTAATATCTCCTCAATAGGCAAAGTGATAGACCCATGAGTTCTAAATGGAACTGGAAACTCGTTAATAAGAATTTAATTAAGAAAACATAATTCTCATCATTTTCCTGAGAGGGAAAATTGATCGTCTGTCTGCATAAAAATACAAATAATTAGCGGTGAATGGCCTTCCTTTGTCGAAAGGAAATACTGATCTCGCCAGTTTTTCTGATGTATTAAATGAGAGAAAAGAAAGTAATCAGCACATGCTGAAAGTGAGTTCATCCTATCAATCTAGAGGTTTGGGCATTTAAAAAAAAAAACAATTTAAAGATAAATTTGAGCTTCAAGTAACTTATCTTACCATAAGATGGCGATACTTAAGCACTTTATGAAATGTCATAGAAAATCTATAAATTTCAATCTCAGGTAAAATGATGATAAACATGAATACTACATAGTGTTTGTGAAATGGCACTGGTAATGTTGTTAGAAAGCCTTTTTGTTTGCAGGTAAATTAATATACAATGCACACCCTTCACGATTTAGATTTCCAACATTTGGCATGTGTGGTATAATCCTACACATGGAAAAAAAAAATCTCCCATTTTAAGAACTCTCCTGGTTTGTCAGTTATCCATGTATGGACATGCATATGCTTACTGTAAACAAACATAGCACACTTGAATACATTTATTTTAAAATGTTATTAGAAAAGATGTCAGTCCGAATATGTTAGTATGAACAAACCAGCTGTTTAAAATCACTGTGCATCCCAGTGTCATCACTTAATGATCATTTCCCAAAACTGCGGTCTTACGTGGTCTTCGTGGATTTTTCATTTCAGTTTTACTAAACATAATCTCTATCATCAATATTAATTTTAGTAAGTAAAACCTTAAGTAGTTAGTATAATCATCCATAAAATCTGAGAGAATTCCTAGGTTCAAACCTAATGGATAATTACGTTGAGAATTAAATGGTGCTATTTGTGATGGGAGACAGGGTGGGGTGATAGATTGGCGATCAACCATAGTTTGATAAAGTATACAAAAGTAGCTTTTGTTCACTTTTTAAGCCATATTTTTCTCTCCCTGTTCAGAAACACTGATGATCATGTTAATGTTCTCTCTAATGTCACATGCGGCCTAGGACCAGCAGTGTCTTCTCCTCTCTGCACACTGCAGGGCAGTGTCTGGGAGCTGAAAGGGACAGTTTGCAAAGTTAACGTGTGTGTCTCTCCTCCCTGAGCTTCTCCCTCATTTGTACCAAGCCACCACAGTTAAATCCACGAAAAGCTTTATATTGTCGCACACCCAGAAATAAGCTTATCCATAGTAGAAAGGCTCCTTTTGACTAAAAGTGGGTCATTTATCTGGAGGCATGATCTCAATATTTAATAGAAGCTTTTCTTTGTTTATATATATCAACACGGGAAAGAACGAAGGGCAAAGAAGTACAGATGCTTATGCATTAAAGGTATCCAAGAAATCGCACACGAGTTCATTTTTAAGAATGACAGGATTCACGTTATGTCGAGTGATTTTTTTTTTTCTGCAGTAATTCAGGGAGTAGGTTCAATTTTAAAACGTGTTTTACCAAGAATATCTCAAGTGAGATACATGATGGAATGTACTTAAAAGTTTCAACCAACACAATATAGTGACAGTGACACGTGTCACTGTGAATCCAGAGGCGAAAAGAAAAATCAGATTTAGAAATGATAAAAACAAAGCCAACACTTTTGGGTTAGGGGCAGAATGCCTTAACGCTGTCCATTGAGATCACCAAGGTGGAATTCACGCCGAAGATTTCAGGGGCAATGGAACCACCACCAGAGCTTGAAAAGAAAATGAATTGATTCTCATCAGGTCTCTCCAGACACGAAACGAGCACACACTTAACTCCACGTCTACAGGACGTGTCGCTAACTTTTCGATATGCGCTACATTGGGCCTACAAACACAGTCAACCACAGCATGAGATTATGCCTGGTTACATCTTAATTGGTTCTCATTCAATGATGGAAAGAAAACGAATCTCTCTCCACCATAGAAATGGATGTGTAAAGCTTTAAATAAATAACTTGCCAATATCCCCAAAGACAGCTTCAAATGGCATCAGTTGTCCGGTTGTGTCCAGTGCTCTCGGCCAGGGAAATAAGTGATAATCATTTGTTAAAAAAAAAATTGTAGCTCTTACTCTTTGTAACCAGACGCCTAAATTCTTATTCCGTATAATGAAGATGACCGTACCATGCGGATGCTGTGAAATTCTCTCACTTTGTCATCAAGACTTTTTTTTCCCTGCAAACCTTTCTCGGGATTTTCCTGCCTTGTGAGGAGAAAGGCTCAGCCTTCACTCTGCTCCTGGCCAGAGCTGGCTCCTTTTCAGAGTTCAGCAGCCAGGCAACACCTCCGCCTCCCCAGGACTTCCTGCTTCTTATCAGTGGTAATCCGAACTTCCTCCGAGCTCCCTCTTCCTCTGGGAAAAGCAAGCAGCCCGTGAACACCAGCCCCCGTCACCGACGCCTGCCTCCCGCCCGCACCCAGAGCCAGCCTGGCGCTGCCTGCGCCCTGAGTGCCACCAGCAGCAGCCTCTCCGGTGCTTTTGGACACAAACCGCAGCAGCACGTCTGCGGTGGGAGTCTTCCTCCCCCCGGATCCGCTGGAAAAAACACACACAGCCCTCCTCCTCCTCCGCTCTCCACCGAGAGAGGGTCCCCTTCACCATCTCCTCGTCCATCCGTGTGGACAAATGTCATTGTTTCCGCCGCCTAACTCCCTGGCGTGACCCCCGCGACTTCCCCACGGCACGTTGGCGCTCGGACCCAGAACAGAGCCCATTCCCCTGAGAGAGCCGCATTGCCCGCTGCCCATCCTCATTCCCTCCGGCCCTGGTCCCTCCCCCCTTCCCGGACTCTCTACCTGGAGGTGCTATTCCTCAGCAGGCGGGCAGGCAGGCAGGCAGTTCACCTTATCTATCACCCGAGCCCTGGACAAACGCTGGGCATCACAAGGTGCCAGGACAGCCGTCTTGCATGCGTTTTTTTTTGGGGGGTGGGGTGGGGGGTGGAAGAAAGAACGTATTTATGTGCATTTTGGGTCGGTTGGTCGGTTTGTTTCCTATTACACATTGATTCCGAGCCAAGAAGTAACGAATCTCGCCTACCTTGGAAGGACCCAGTCCAGACAGCAGCGACAGCAGCAGCAGATTGAGCAGGCGGGACGTCGCCGGCTGCATCCTGACCTGGGTTCGGTGGTGCCCCCTCTTCACTCCCTCTTCTGTGGCCACTCCAGGGTCACTGCGGGGACCGACACCTGGCCCTTCGGTTGCACCCGCCGCCCGCCAGCCAGAGCCTCGCGGAGGAGAGACCGAGGCAGCAGCAGCAGCAGCAGCAGCAGCAGCAGCCCCAGCAGCCGCCCTGGGGGGCGATCATTCCGCAGGCATCTCGGTGTCCAGGCTGCTCCCTGCTCACAGCGCGCAGCCCGCCCGCCCGCAGCTCCTGGCGGGGCGTCTGCAGCGGGCGCTGGCCGTGGTGCTGAAGCGCCTCCCAGCTGCGCGCCCGCCCCTCTGCCCTCGCCTCTCCTCCTCGCCAGTCCACCTCAAAAGTTTGGACCCAAGAAAGAGACCGAGGGAGTAGGCGCCTGGAGAGGTGTGGAGACCTGGACGACGGATATGACATCACTACAGCTCCTGGGGGCTCGGGGCGGGGCGGAGGAGTGGGGGGGGTGGGGCGGGGGAATATTTTGTGGGGAATTTCTTAACCAAAGGAGGGTGGACTCAGCTCTGTGCAGCCTGTGTAGGTACCTGGAGCCGCAGGGAAGTAAAGCATCAGAGGGACACGGGATTATGAAACCAGCAGCGCCTGGAACCTTTTGCCTTCATTGGCAGAGGACTCGATAGCCTATGTATGTATCGCTTTCAACAAAGTTTGCCGTGCAGCCTCTCCATGTGTGTTTTCTGTCGGAGGCACCAAGTCTGGAGCTGTTCCATTGGCATATATGCACTGTCATGTAGGAATAGCCTCTTGGAATAATCTGTCTGGTTAGTACAAATGTGCATTTCTCTACCTAGGGCATCTGAACATCTGAAAATACTATATGCATACATAAATGAAGAGGCTGGCTCTTTTTTTTCCCCCTTCTTCTTATAAATGGGATATTGCATTAGTGACTCCCCACAGCTGAGATCTCTCTCCTCAGGCACGGCGATACCCAGAAATATAATTTCCCTGTCGATTTGACTCCTGTTTACGCCTGAGGGGGAATTCAGTGATGGATGGACAGTGGCATGGAAAAAATGATTACCCTAAGCTTCCAAAATACTTCCGTGTTCTAGAGCTCAAGAAAAGAAGCAGAATAGCTGCCTCCTAGGAGCAGAGAAAGAGTGAACGGCTAACCCTTACACCCTGCACCATTTAACTACTCTCAAGCAACTTTATTGCTTTGAAGCTGGAAAATACAAGTGTTCTTCAGGATAACAAGGTGGGCAGGAATTGGCAACCACTCTGACGCCTGCCTCTCATACAGTGATGGCCTTGGGCACTTCTTGAGTTATGTCTTCTGTTGATTTTTCTGGAAATGGTATTTCCCAAGGATTCAAATATGTGGATTGAAGCTATAAACGTTGCTTTCATATTAAAGAGATGATACATTGCTTGAGATATCAGACACATTCTAGGTATAAAATCTCCACCAATCTCTCCCTGGGAATTCCATATTTTTAATATAAGAAATCTCAATTGGGATTCAAGACTTCTGAAAATTATAATTGCCAAGGGTTTGCATCAGATTGCATCTAGTTTAGCCTGCTATTATATGTGTGAATTAATAAGAGGACAGATTCTATGAAACTTTGCCAGAGAAATGTGATGGATAATTGTACTTAGATACTGAAGTATGCAATGTGGTAATTATGCTACAAATGAAAACAGATGATCTTCGAATATTTACAACCTATTTGCTCTAAGAAAAGCTTAGTCATTTGTAGAGAGCAAACAAGTTTTGTAATAAATCAAAAAAAATATAAAAACAAAAAAACTCCTATATACAGGCCACTGAAAAACAAAAGCTGTAATAACACAAATTCACCAATAGTCTAATACTTCCTCTGTCGCTCTTAAAAAATAAGATCACACAGTTTTTCTGAAACAAAGTGTGTGTGTGTGTGTGTGTAGGAAGCTATTTGTTTTACAGTAAAGCTGTCTTATACTTGCATACAATCAGCTTGATGAGATTATGGATCACAGCACATCTTATTTGTCCATAGCCATTTACACAACATTCCTCCTGGGAAGAAAGTCCATGAAGCTCTTTGTAACTTGAGGTCAATATTAGCGATTCCCAAGAGTTCTATCTCAGAGAGGAAATGGTGGGTCTGCTTTTGTGTTCACAGTCACTTCAGCTAGGTCCCTGTAACTGAGATTGGTGATTGCAACTTAGAACAAAATGAAAAAAAAGTGATGCATAGCATAGATTTAGAAATATTGCCTTTTCCAATACATGTATGAGAAAGTATTTGATATTTATGTATCTAAAGTTAGCCTTTTAGGCCTACAATGGGTACAAAATTACCTTGAAATTTATAAAGTCCTGCACAAATTTTAGCCAGCACTATCTACAGAAAAAGAAACTGATAGGAAGGAAATGGTGTACATATACAAAAACACAACAAAGGGTGTAACTTTTTAAAACATTTATGCCCCGTATTACAAAAGTAACTTCTTAATTGTATAATGAATTATATTTTAGCAGACTGTGTTGAGTGTGTGTTCATCTTCTTTTGATAAGAGTGTTTGGCATAGTTTTTATGTATATTTCATACTGCACCAATATCCCAGGGATGTTCCATTTTGTTAAAAAAAATGCTGTTACTTATTATGATTTTCATCAATCATTTAACACTGATGGACTTAGCTGTTTTAGAGGGGAAAAAAGATTATCCAGCAGGTTATATAAACCCTTGAATAAATGTTCACCTTTTGTTATATAAGTGAGGATCGTTTTTGATTTTTTATTTTTCGTGTCTTTGACCTGCCACACTTTCTTTTATTTGTTCCTCTTCAGTTCTCACTGGAGGTGACTTTTCTCTCTTGCTGGCTTTCAAGCCATGCCCATCGAGATCCCCTATCTCTTGGAACTACCCTGTCTAAAATAACACCCCAGTCATACTCCATCTATTTTAAGTAGGTTGGTTATTTATTGTCTGCCTCTTGTATTAGAATATATTTCTAGGAGGAAGGCCCTTTGTCCATTTGCTGTTCTGCTGTAATCTAATCACCCGGAGTAGTGCCTGGCACCTGGCAGTGACTTAATCAATAATGATTTAATGAATGCATGAATGAGTGAATTTTCAACCCTAATTCCTTCTTGCAGGATATTTATATGCCCAAGGTTTGCTAGATGTCACTCAATTTCAAACAGGCACCTCAGACTCAATATTTCAAATCGATATTCCCCCCCCCCTCAATCCCATTAGTTTGTAGCACATTTTTTTTCTCCATTGCAAAGCAAGAAGCGTGAAAGTCACACTTGATCCTCCCCACCCCATCTTTATCCCTGCTTGAAATTTATCAACAGTTCTGTTGACTTTTTCTCTGTAATATCTCCAAATCGATCCACTTCTCCAGGTAGACCCAGATCAGACCCTCCTTGTACATGATCTAAATTATTTCAGTGGGTTTTGCCCCCTGGTTTTCACCAGTTTAGCTTCTGCTTTCAATCTTCAATTGAAACACTAATTTGGTCTCATTGCTTCTTAGATTGAAGGCCTTCAGTGGCTTCCCGTCTTTGAGGGGATCCAGTGTGGAATCCTCAATATGGCTTATCTAGGGCTCTCAACGAGTTGGCCCCTTGTCTCCCTCTTCCATCGCATTTCTGACCACTGACTCCCAATAATTAGAACCAAGTACAGTTTTAATGCTTATAATCCTCTTAATACTGTTCTCCTTGGTCATGACTTGCTTTTCTTTTGCCTGAACAATTTTTATTGTGCTTTTAAGTTTCCTTTTCAATGTCATCTTATCTGGAAAGTCTTTCCTGGGCCCCCAGAACCCTCTCTCAAGGTTTCCCTTTTCAGTCTCCCCCAATAACATCTTGTGCACACTTTTATCATTTATATATTTCCTACATTGCATTATTAGAATCTACCTGTGTGTGTTGGCTCTTCACCTGATTGTAAAACTCTTGAAGATGTTTAGGTTATCAGTTGCTGTGTAACTAACCCTTCCAACGGGTGGTGGTTTAAAACAAAAATATATCCTGAACTCTCGTGGGTCTGTGATAATTCTCACTGACAGTTTCTGATGCAGGAGACTGGAGTCATCTCACCCTAGACCTGGCTCGATGTCCAAGTGGCTTACCTACGTGGCTGCAGTTGCCCCTGGCTGTCAGCTAGTTGCTCAGGTGACGTGGTTGACCACCATGTCATCTCTTTGTGTGGCTCATGTTTCTTTCAGAAGAGCAGCTGGGTTTTGAGCAAACTGCCCAAGAGGTTGTATTCTAAAAGGCCCTGGCAGAAACCATAAACATTCTCCATTAGCTGAGTCAAGAGAAAAGTACAGTAGCTCAAACAGCTCATTCTCTGACACATCCTGTCTAGTTGGACTGTCTTTCTTTTTCTTTTTTCTTTTGCGTGTCTATGTTGACAGTGGGAAATAATGATAGACGTTCAAGATAGCAGACTGGGCATCTGTGTTTATTACTTCTCCCTTCCATGATCCTCTTAACTCTATAGACTACGACTTGTTAAGGATGTTGTATAATGTCGGGGGAGCAGAGAACAAGGAAATGAAGTTTCAGTCAAATTGTGCAAGGACACAGTTAGCAAGAGAGTGTGAATGATGGAAAACAGGAGAGAAGACCACAGCCTTCCAGAGAGGGGATGCAGGGAGCTCTGCCCAGGGGCAATGACAAGTTTGGAAGAGGAAGGTCTGCTTCCTACTCTTCACACACCCCTGACCCTCAGAGCAAAGCAGCCTGATGGTCCCTCACAGGAAAACAACAAAGAGTGTTGTCTTAAACATGCAAGGAGCATCTCAAAAGAATGGCAAGTCAATGTGAGTTCTCTTCCTAGGAAGTGGGTAGATCATTTGGAACCGCCTCAATTTAGCCTTTCACACCCCTATCCCCACACCCCAGAACACAACCAACCACTTTCTCCCTCCAAGGGCTACTGCACACAGAACAACCCTGCTCTCCTAGCTCCCTATTTTTCAAAATGATGTGATTTTCACAGCATAT